GAGGAAGTTGCCAGAGCCTGGCGGGCCGGCGGCCCAGCCCACACGCCCTCTGCTCGGGACCCAGCCGCACGATCCCGCAGAACCCGCAGCTCCCGGGCTGGACATTTGGACATTTGGACTCCTGGAGTCGCTACTGAAAATCTGTGGCGCCGCACGCTGCTCATGGCAGAGCCTCAGACCCATGAGAAAAACAGCGCGGGGCAGACACTCATCTGAGGAAACCAGGAGCGCCTGGGCCTGGGGCTGCACCTGGGCTTCCAGCTAGACCAGGAACAGCCCGGAAAAGCTGAGGCAAGACGGGCCGGGGAACCTGCAGCAGAAAAGGGTTTCTTCAGGGAGACACAGAAAGTGGAGACCGGAAGAAGCAGCTTGATACATCTGAGGACGCCAGACCGAAAACGTGGGGACGTGAGGTCCAGCCAGAGCCGCTGAGCTTCCCGACAGGTGGAGCCCAAAGCTTCTCCCGCAGGGAACCGTCCATCTGGGGTGGCAGCACTTCCCTGGGTGTGTCACACGCTCATCTGAAGCAAATGCAATGCCCTCTGTCAATTATACCTTTAAAAATACTCCACGAGGGCCTCTCTGGTGGCGCAGGGGTTCAAGTCTCAGCTATCAAGCCATCGGCCGCCCTGCGGTGCGTGTTCGGTGCCCCACCAGGGAGCTCCCCACAGGGCGCAGCAGACCTCTCCCGCCTCCCCGCTGCTCCCCTCAGCAGTGGATTTCAGTGGATCCACCTGTTCTGCTCCCCACTCTGTCTCTGGGGAGTCCTCTCACCTCCCCCACCCCCCCAACACCTCTGGCCTGCACCCCAGCTCTTGTGTGCATAAATAAATGAAAATAAATCTTTAAAAAAAAATACTCAACCAAAGAAACGGTACATGAAGTTAAAAGACAAGCAACAGAGAGAGCCAACTGCACGGAAACCCAGCTCGGAGAAGCGGCTCCCCCAAACCAACTAGGGAGAGATTGACCCAGACAGAGGCCGGAGCCACGAGGCGCAGAGCGTGAGGTGCGAACACCCTCGCCAGCCGTCAACGCAAACCAAGGCAACAAACGCCCTCTCGCCTAGGGTGGGATTAACAGCATTTAAACATCTGCACATTTCAAGGTCCGGAGAAGCCGGCACCTCAGACACGGCTGCTGAGTGGCCGGCGCCTCGGGGATGCCAGTCCCGGGTCCCCACCCCGCAGGGCCCCTGGCCTGCCCTGCCCCACCCCGTGTCCCTGCAAGCCCCTCCTGAAGCACCAGGAGAGCAGCCAGGGGAGGCCGAGACAATGGGGAGCCTGAGAGCCTGCCATGGCCTCCTCCCAGCAGCCCAGAGCAGTCTGCAGCAGGGAGGCCTCCGAGACGCGCTGCTGGGCACACGGGGCAGTTTCAGGACAGAGGCTGGTGTCGGCCCCGCCGTGCGTTCTGTCTCCACCCGGGAAGGAACACGGGAACCAGGGGAGGCGATCGGGAGACCTCTGGTGACGGGGAGACCTCTGGTGACGGGGAGACCTCTGGTGAAGGGGAGACCTCTGGTGACAGGGAGACCTCTGGTGACGGGGAGACCTCTGGTGAAGGGGAGACCTCTGGTGACGGGGAGACCTCTGGTGACGGGGAGACCTCTGGTGACGGGGAGGCCTCTGGTGACGGGGAGACCTCTGAGGAGTGTCCTGGGCTCAGAGGCCGTGCGTGGAGTCCCACTGTCCTCCCTCTTTCCCCAGGACGCGGCTGCCCGGGCCCACAGCTGGCAACCCCCACCCCACACCCACACAGTCACGGGGCACAGAGCAAGATCGCCCCTTTCCCTCGAGACCAAACCGCAGCCATCAGCCGCCTGCCTCCCCGGGCAGGGCCCCAGTGCCGCGGCCCCTGGGAGTGCGCCTCACGCCGGAGCAGGGAAGAGGGGGGCCTTGGGGAACTGCGAACCCTCCCGGGCTTTCGGCCTGGCGGGGAGTGGCCCCAGGGCCCGGGGGCGCACAGGTCTGAGGCACCCGCACTGCAGGGGCAGGTGGTGTCTGCCACGCCCAGCGCCCATCCTCCCTTCTCCGCTGGCGCCCCCCATGTGCTTCTGGGGATCTCAGGCCCAGTTGCTGAGGGGGTCTGGCTCCTGGCCTGGGGGGCCTGTGAGTGGGGCCTCCGCCTGCCCATTTCCTGCCAGGTTGGTGGGTCAGAGGCGAGCAGCCGGCCCCCGCCCAGGAAGGGCGAGGAAAGGGGCTGAGCGCCGGCGGCCCTGGCCCGCGCCCGTGCCTGGAGCTCCCAGGCCTGCCTTCGGCCTCCACCGGCGCCCTCACCCGCTGCCAGGAAAGCCTGCTAGCCCAGCGGGTCGTCCTGTGGGCCCGCCGGGGGGCACGTGAGAAGGCCCGGGCACGGTGGCACGCCCGCCGCCATCAAAGGCGGACTCTGGCCTTTTTTGCCCACCTGGAAGGCCCCTGGGGGATGACGCCGCGTGAAAGGAGTCGGGAGGGACAGACGGGAAGGACAGACGCCGTGAGGTTTCCCTCAGCCGCGGCCCAGAAGGAAGCCAGGCACGAAGAGAACCAGAACAGAACAGCGCCGACCCGTGGGGCAGGGCCGGCGGGCGACTGGACTCTGGACGGCCGCGCGGTGAGCCGGGAGGGGCCGCTGGACGCTGGAACCACGCGCCCTGTGACGAGCGCCACGTCCGCACGCGGGGAAGGAGACTCACGGGCTCACGGGCGCCTCGGCCCGCTCGGGCTGCTGCGCTCTGGCCTCGGGGCGCCCGGCGCAGCCCAGAAGCTGAGCCCACGGGGCCAGGGCCAGGGCTCCCGCCACCGCCTGCCACCCCAAACCACACCTTCACCTTCTCGCGCTGCTGGCGGGACAGGTGGCGCTGACCATCCCGCCTCCCGGCCTCAAGCGCAACCTCACCCGGCGCAGAAAGACCCCACAGACCCCGCCCGAGTCAGCGCTTCCAGGGGAGACTCACGGTCCGCGAGGAGAGTAGCTCGTTCCTCTGCAACGAGGGCCGCTCTGGCCACAGCGCGGTCTCCCTGCCGGGGGGGCTCAGACCCCCCCTCACCTCAGGGGAGGTGCCCAGTCCTCTGGGCCGAGCTTCAGGTGGCCTCGGGACAAACCCTCCTGGTCCCAAACCAGCTGCGCCCCCCACTTCCCCGGCCCTCGGCGGCCGGCCCCCCTCCTGGGGTTCAGCCAAGAAGCCTGGACTCAGGCCCCGGGCGTGGGCTCCCACGTGCCCACTGTCTTTGCTCTCTGTCCCCCGAGGTGCCCGCTGGCCCAGGGCAGCCAGAGAGAGCCTCCTCCGGGCCAGCAGGGCAGACAGCAGCCCCGAGGCCCGAGTGCCCGGGGGGCAGCTCCCCAAGGGCGGCTGACTCCTCGGCTCTGGGGCCCTCAGCCCTACAGCCCCAGGCCCTGTCCTGACCCCCACCAGCTAATTCCCACCCACAGGTGCCCTCCCAGCTGCATGGGGCGCTCTCCTCTCCCCACTCAGTCTGCAGCCAAACGCCCCCCGCCAGGCCCCCCTGGCGCCCTCCCAAGCCCCCGCCGCCCGTCTCTGCCTCTCCCTCCTCGTCTTCCCGGCGTCTTCTAAAAACATCCCCAATGACAGGGTCTTCCGCCCCCACATAGAACCCCCAGCATCCCCAGCAGCTGGGGGTGCCCGACCCGCCTCGGGGTGAACCACGCGCGCCGGCCCGTGGCGAGAGGCCGTGTCCTGCTCTGCGAAAGTGGGTCAGCGGGGCTGAGCCCGGCGCCCTCCGGGTCCAGGCAGGAGCCGCAGAACTATTTTAAAATCGCCGTGAACCAGCCGAGCGGGGCCGGAGGAGCGTGACGCCGGCAGGTCCCGTCCTGGCGGCTCAGAATAGCGGGCGGCAGGCTCTGAGGTGCCCTTGTCAGAGCCCAGCCCCAGGTGCGCCTGCCAGGAACCCACACTGGGGGGGGGGGGTGCCCCTGCCCTGTGCAGCGAGGGGGCTTGTCCCCATCGGAGGTGCGGGGCATCTCCCTCCTGCTCTCCCGGGGCTCAGTGTCTCCCTCCTGGCAGACCTCGCTGCCCACTGGGCCCAGCAACAGGAGGGGCGGCACCTGCGGGGCTGCAGCCGGCGGCTCCGCTCACAGGGGGGGCTCCTCTCCAGCAGGGCAGAGCCGGGCGCCCCCCAGACCCTCTGGGCCCGAGGAGCCGGTGCCCCCCTCCCAAGAAGCCCTCCCCACCTCAGAGGTCCCACTTCGCTCCGGTGTGTGAGTGTGAGTGTGTGAGTGTGTGAGTGTGAGTGTGTGTGAGTGTGTGTGTGTGAGAGTGTGTGTGTCTGGGCACTGTAGGCTGCTCAGCAGCACCCCTGGCTTCTGCCCCTTAGATGACCTCCCAACCCTCCTGTTTTGTAACAAATGAAAATGGAGGTCAGCACCCCCCTTTCAGATCCCCGGTAATGGCTTGCGACGCCCCTAAACCAGAGTCCAGGCAGCTGGGACCCCAGAATCACGGGTCGAAAGTGCAGACAGGGGCTCCCCTGAGCGTGGGGCCCGGAGGGTTCTCCCTGAGCGGCCACCAGCCAAGCGTCCTGGGCACCGCCGTCCTGGGCACCGGCACCCTGGGCACCACCGGCACCGAGGCCACGAGTCCAGGGGCGCCCTCAGGCCCCCGCCCCTCGGGGAGACCCCGGCCCCCCCTCCCCAGCTCTCCTGGCCAGGTGGGGCGGCACCTCCCCGCCTCCTCGTCCCGCGCGTCCCAGGGCTGGCCGGGCGGGTGTGCGCGCAGGCGGGGGCGCGGGTCCTCCCGGCGGGCGGGCTGCGGGGGCCGGAGGCGCCAGGACGCTCGCCCGCCGCGCGATGCCGAAACCCGGGCACGGGAAGTCGAGGGTCCCGCCGCTCCGGGGCCCGCACGCGCGCAGAGGGGCCCCCAGGGGCCGGCCCGGCTGGGGGGAGCCCGGGCGCCCATCTCCGCGGCGGGGGCGCAGCGGGCAGCCCCCCTCGGGGCGCGAGCTCCCGGGGCCGCCCCCGCGCCGCGCCCGCGCGCCCTCCCGCGGGGTCCCCGGCCGCGCGCTTACCTTGCGCCGGGCCTCGGGCGGCGTGGGCGGCGTCCCGGGCCCCGAGGGCGCGCAGCAGCGAGCGCACCGGCGCCGGCCAGCGGGCGCGCCCCCCGCCCCGGCCGCGCATGCCGCGGGCGCCGGCTCGGGCTGCGCCGGGGCGGCCGGGGGCGCGCGGGGCCCGGGGCTGCGGAGGCGCCGGCCGGGCGCGCGGGGCGGGCGGGGCGCGGGGCGGGGGCGGGGCTGCCGCGCGGGGCCGGCCCCTCGGGCGGGCGGGGCGCCGGGGGCCGCGGTGACCTTGGTCTCCCGCCCCCGCGCGAGCGGCCGCGGGGACCCGGGCGCAGGGCGATCGCGGCGCGCGGAGGCTGCGGAGTTGGAGCCGCGCGGGACCCGGGCGGTCGCCGGACCCTCCCGAGTCCGGGGTTCCCCGCGCCAGAGCGGCCGGGAGAGCGCGGGCCAGCGCCGCGGGGCCGACCCTCCAGGTGTGGGGGCGCCGCGGCCGCCCGCGGGTGAGGTCGCTGCGTGGCTTCGACCCTCTTTTTAGTAAACACAGCAGGGGGGTTCAGCTTGATGAGGGTGGGACACCCTCGGAGCCGCCAAGCAGAGCAGGAACTGGAACGGGGCCAGCCCCCCAAGTCCTTGGCAGCCCCAGCCCCTCCTCCACCCGCGCGTCCTGGGGTGGGTCAGTCTTGAGAGGGCGGCGGCCTCTGCTGATTTTGGGGGGTTGCCTTTGACGCAGGGTGTCTGGTCTGACATGCACCCAGGACCCCTCAGCACTAAGGGCTTCCAAGGGGTCCAGGTAAGCACCAGACCAAGGGGTTCAGGTGCAAGGGGCACAGGTCCTCAGAACCCCAAAGGGGCAGCGCCCTGGCCCTGAGCGCTTCCCAGGAGCAGCGTGCGCGATCCCATCAAGGCCCCAGCAGGCGCCCCCATAGTGCCCATGGCCCAGATGGAGAGGCGCAGGTGGTGGCGGGGCGGGACAGGTGCTGTGCTGGCCACCCGGCTGCGGAGGGCTGTGTGGGGTGCAGGTGAGGGGCTCCCTCCAGCAGCCTGACCCTGCCGCCTGCTTCTCTCCCTCTCCCAAACCACCCTCCACCCCCAGAACCCTGGGGCTGCCGTGCCCACGCCTGACAGCCCGTCAGGTGGCGCCGCGCTGAGCGTCCACCCATGCAGTCTCCTGGGGGGGCTCCAGTGACCCCCTCACTTCACAGACGTGCCCACCGCTTGGTCCCCAGCATCCCCCTGCCTCCTCCTCCGTGGACTCGTGGGGAGGCTCTGCAACTGGCCTCCACCTTCCAGAGGAGGACGCAGGCTGGGGAGAGGCAGCACCTGCTCTGCGAGGAAGTCAGGAGGGAGGAGGGCCAGGACCCACTATCTCAGTGCCCGCCCCCCGCCTACCCCCCCCCCAGAACGCCCGCTCACCCTTCCAGACCCTGCGCAGCACAGCGCTGCCTCCGCTGGAAGCTTTTTCCTCAGCCTCGCTGCCCCCTGCCCCCTCCTGCATCCCGTGCACCCTCTGAGGGGCGCCCTCCACATGCCACTGCCCCGTCTCCACCGGGCTGGGATTTTAGGGGGCGGGCATTGGCCCTGGCTGCTGCCCTCCAGGCCTGCTCACGTCCAGAGAACATCCGTGGGCAGCCCGTGGCCCCTGCTCACAGCACCATGTCCATTTTCCCCTCCTGCCCCTCCCAGCCCTAGCGGAGCCAAGGCCCCGCCTGACCATCCGCCGTCCTGGCCGTGGCCTGGAGGCTGCTGAGGGAGAGCTGGTCTGCCCCGCCACACCCAGCTCCTGGGACTCCTGCTGCGCCGCTTGAGAAAAGCCTTTTTACCCCCTGGCCCCGAGGGGGTGGTGGGATCCCGGAGCCATCGGCTGCCTCCATGTGAAGCAACACAGAAGAGGGAGGACCTGGACACAGGTGTGCTGGGGCCTCGGCACTGTCGGGGCACCTGGGTCCGGCCGCGCCTGCAGGCAGCTCCACGGAGGGTGGAATTTTCGGTCTCACCCTCGCGGCTGCTTCCTGTGCCCTCGGCTGGATGGTGACAAGGTCCCGGGAACAGAGGAGAAGAGCCGGGCCTGCTGCAGCACCGGGCAGGGCCGGGCCGCGGCGGCCGGAGGGAAGGTTTGCAGTCGCAGGTGCCGGAGTCGGTGGAGACCCAGGGGCCAGTGACTTTCCCGTTCCTGACGCCTGTGCTGTCCCGAGGTCCACCAGCCCCTCCACCTTGGCCGAGCCGGTCAGTCCTCCAGGTCCTGCCCTGCAGGCTGGGGAGCTGCTCTGCGGAGTCTGGGGGCCCGCGCCAGGTTGGGGAGGTCACGGGGTTTTGCTTGGTCTCCAGGATGCGCCCGGCCTCGGCCTCGCCCAGGTGCTGTCGCTGCCCCGGCCAGGGCTGCTGCCCGGCGTCGTGGGCGCCGCCCGCCTGGCGTGGGGGGGGGTCGGGGGCGGGGACCCCGAGGCCGGGCGGCGAGGGGAGCCCCAGCGCCGGGCCGCGCTGGCCACAGCCTGAAGTCCAGCCGGTTCCCGGCGGCGCGGCGCGCGGGCTGCCCCGACTTTGGGGCGCGCGTGTCCGGGCGGGGCGGGCCTGGGCCGGGCCGCTGCGGGGACGCGAACAAAACTGGGCTCGTGGGCGGGAAGCTCGGGACAAAACCGGGCCAGTGACGGGCGGCGCCGCGCTCGGGCAGGGTCGGTGGGGGCCCGTCGTCCTGTTCCGTCTGCGCGGGGCTGACCCCTGCGCTCACCCCTCCGGAACCGAACCCGCGGCTTCGCGGCCCGAGGCCGGTCCCGGCGCGCGCGCGTCTCCCTCTAGCGGCCGCCGCGGGGACTGCAGCCGAGAGGCCGCGCCGGAGCCGCCACGCGCCCGGCGGCCGGCAGGGGGCGAGCGCGGCCGGCCTCGCTGCTCGCGGACCCAGACGGGCTCGCGACCCGGTCACGCCCCGGAGGCGCGTGTGAGCCTGAGAGTCGCGTCTAGAAGCTTTCTGAGTGTGCAAAATAAATGACACACAAGCTTGCACCCGATCTCACATAACCCCGCCAGGCGGACCAGCACTGTTGGGGTGCCCCCACCCCCCGCGTGGCGGGCCAGCACTGTTGGGGTGCCCCCACCCCTCCCCCGCGTGGCGGGCCAGGACTGACGAGGTGCCCCCACCCTCTCCAGGTCCATCTCATGACCCCGGCCCCGCGGAAAAGAAAGGCCTCGACAACCCCAGCAAGCTGGCGGGGTTGGCCGCGCCCCCCGCTCCCCGCGGCGCGTGAGCCCAGGCTCCAGGCTCCCCACCTGCCAGAGGCGCGGGGCCACCGGGAGCCTCCCGCCCGCAGCTGGGGAGCCGCCCCCGCGGGTGCCGCGCCCCGGGCCACCCCTGTGCGCGCCGGGACCGGCCTCTGCTCACGGGGCCCCTCCCGTGCGCCCGCCCGCGGCCGCAGGACCCCATGGGGTGACGCTGCGATCCCCTCGTTTTGCAAGGACCAAGGAGTTAGAGGCGAGGGCACCCCACACCACCGTCCCGGAACGGGGAGCAATCAGGCAGCTCGTCCTCTGAGTGGCCCCGAGCAGGCTCTGTACCCAACTCTCGTGTACAGAACCTTGGGGGGCTGTGGGGGTGTTTGGGACCCGAAGGGCTGGGGAACCCCCTGAAAGACCTTTCATCTTTGCAGGAATTGGTGCGTGAAGAAGGTCAAGCAGGCGAAAGCGCAACCACCAACAAAAACAGCCCAAGGACAGAGCCAGGCCCCGCACCGAGGCCCGAGACAGACATTTCATGACCCAGAACTTGGTGTTCTGAAACCCGCCCGGCCTCGTCCTCAGAGGCTTGCAGAAAATTTATTTCCCTTTTAATGACCCTGGCGCAGGTCGGGAGCCGCGCGTGGTTGGGGCGCCACCCCCCCCCACCGTGGCCCCCGTGGCCGTCCAGGCTCCTGCTGACTTTGCTGCACAGGCGGCTCCCAGGCCAGAGCCGGGCTGACGCGGCGTGGACAGAGGGACTCCCTGCATTTCATACAAACTCACAACTGAAACGTGCTTGTGTGCTCATTAGGAAAATAACAGCCCGGTCACGGGGCTGCCAAGGATGCAAATATTGCAGCCACTTTGAAAAGCAGGCGGCGGCGGCACTTCCAGAGGGAGCAAACCCCGGGCCTGCACCCCCACTCCTGCGTGTCTACCCCAGGGAAGCGAGGACAGCCGTACACGCCAGATCAGACGGTGTTTCGTTCACATTCAGCATTATCCAAAATAGCCCGATTGGAAAGAAACCCAAATTTCCAGCGATCGGTGACGGACAAACACATGGGGGGCACGTCCAAGCCTACTGAGCCACAGCAGACCCCAAACACTCACACCCCGGCGTGATGAACCCCAAAGACAGGTCTCGCCAGCCAGTCCTGAGATCAGTGTTCAAGCAAAACCAGGAGTGGAGGAAGAAGCTAAAGCTATAAACAGAATTCCCCGGGGAAGAATTGCTGGTGGGCCTGAGCTGCTTGACCAGACATTCGGCTTCTTCTAGAATCTGAAAAATGCAAAAGAAATTACATGAAGACGCTGTCGCTTGGGTGGGAGACGCTGGTGGGTCGTCCTGGGCCAATGCCGTGGGCGCGCAGACGCTCTCCCCACGCGGGGCGGTGCGGGGACAGACGCCCATGCCAGGGGCCTTCGCCCGGGCCCCGGGATCTCACCTCCAGGAGCTCCCCTCCCTCCCCGCATCGAAGACACGCAAAGGTATCAAAGAGGCAACATGCAAAAGGGGACATCACGGCGATGTCAGGAGCCCGGAGTTCCAGCCTAAGAGGAAAACCTCAGTTCACAGACGCGACTCCCCAGGTCCTTAACGCTGAGTGAAAATATCAGTATAAACTTGTGTTTTCTTTAAAAAAACAGTATGTTCTCTGATGGCCTACTCAGATTTGGGAGAAAACAAGCCAGGGGAGCCCCTCTAGCGTGCAGGTGGTGTTCCTCAACCCTCGCTGCCTTCTCTTCCTTGACGTCGACAGGCAGCAGGAGAAGTGACGCCTTTTCCTCCACGGCCTGTGGGTTCCGACTCCAGAGGAGCCTCCCTGGGCATGAGGGCGTCGTCTGCACAAAATGC